ACACACACACACACACACACACACACACACACACACACACACACACAGTGAAGATGATGTAACAGAGAGGTAGAGTCGGTCAAGGCTCGTTTTTCCTCTGCATCTTGACCTTGTATGTAATGTATGCAGTGGTAACCTGTGCAGCCCCATTAATTATCAAGTAAAACACACTAACCCATGAACACACAAGACTCTCTGTTTGGATCAAATCTTCAAAGTCTGGGATCCATGTTGTTGTAGGGTGGCCTCACTTCCTGTCCTGAGCTCATGGGAGAAACGCCTCATTAGCCGCAGCTTCCTGGTCGGGCAGCACAAACGAGCTCTTCCTCCTCATAACAGGGCGAACTAAGCTTTTCCTGAGGATATACCTGCACAACATGATTTCACACAGCACAGTCTTAATCCAGACACAGCCAAGAACGATCTATTCTACGAACAAGACGACGAAATGAAACTTCTGAACGTGCCGTCTGAAAAGCTCCTCTTCAAACTGGTGCGATAATGACACGGTGCCGGATCGATCGGGCCTGCATCCGGAGTCAGTTACAATGAAGGAGCAGTGACGGGCCAGGTGCTGCAGAAGCAAAATCCACAGCGCAGAAACAACAGCTCTACGACAGTAACAAGCCATTAATCTTTGTCCCCTAAACTCATGATGCTGACTGCAGCATTGCTGCGTGCTCTGGGAAAAATAAATAAACTGCTCTATTGATTTCCTATTCCTGCAAAAGAAACGGTTACTCAATTGCCAACAATACCACCGGAGCACAGCAACTGTTGAAAAGGGCGATTGTGTTTCCATAAAAACAGCTCATCACAAGGCAAGACCTCCGATTGTCACATCTGGCGACTGATGGCGCAGCTCTTCCCGAGGCCTTTAGGAGAGAGACTTAACACTGTGCGTTGAGCATTCAGTCCTTCTACAGAGTGCAGCCTCTTACTCTGTTGTGGTGCAGGCTTCCGTCTCCCCGGTTCCCATGGAGTTAGACAAAACACAGACGGTCTCTTGTGCCATCCAGACTTAAAAAGCACTCCTCCAGCATGTTTACTGGCTCTGCTGCTACCGCTGCCAAGAGCGTAGAAGTCTGGAGGCAGCAGAAGGTTTTTGTGAGAGGGCGGTGTGATCTTGGCACACGACTGTTCCCCTCGACTCATCTATATTCTGTTCGCCGTCAAACAGCCGGCTCATATGCTGGTGGAGAATGACTCGCTACGCAGCTTTGTAAAACTGTAAGAAAAACAAACAAACTTGTGATGATTTAATGATGAGAATGATGCACATCAACGACCGCCAATCTCCTTCAACATATTGTAGAAGTAACACAAGACAACCAGCAGACCAGGTAGCGCTGTAATCAATACACGGATGGACCTTGCTTTACAAGAGGAACATCTTCCACTATAACAAGAATACTATATGCAGCTTTTTTCATCTGTTTCAGATGTCTTGTATCAGAGTAATGCATCCCCCCCCCCCCCAAACTATCACAGCACATAAATACATCAGATTCAGGGTCTCATATTACAGCTTCTACCATGTGATGTGTGGAAGTGTCGAGCGAAACAGACATGGGTGGATGCTCGGGAAGTCACCCTCTACAGCACACCGGCTACAAAACAATATCTAATCTGACGCACCATGATGAGGTCAAGGGTTGATCCTCCCTCTTATAAAAAAAGGCGTTATATCACGCTCATTTGCAACAGGGCGCAATATAAACTGACGATGGCAAACTTCACGTGCACGTCCTCAAAAGATGAGCACAGTGCAAAGTGTTCCCATAGTGATGACAGGACGACTGCGGCGGTAGACACTACAGGTGGAAAAGTTGCAAGATCATCAAAGTGTCTCTGAACTGGGACAGTCAGCTACTTTTTAATGGGTAAACACCATGTACAGACACAGCAGGCAACTCATGTCCTAGAAGCATGATTAGTCAGCTTTGATATGTGGCGGTGCCCCAACAGATCTGACACTTGTGTGAGTCTGGAGCACACACGGTTCGTTATCTGCTCCTCCCAGAGGCCCAGCTCGCAGCAGTGCGCCTATGGCAACCTGCGTGCCCCCGCCATTGTCTCCCATGATCGTGTTTAATGCAGCGCAGTAAGAACAACGGCCTCAATAATAGATGTGGACATGTCAGACGCCGGCACGTGACACGGAGCCATAACGCAAGATGTAGAGACAAAAAGTCTCACTCACTCACTCACTCACTCACACTCTCACACACACACACTCACACACACACTGGAAGAAGACGTCTGTGTGAAGAGTTGGCCACATGTGTAAAGCTTCCAGGCCTGGGGGTGATGCAACCTCTCCAGTAGGCTGTGAGAGGGAGTTAAAATAAATGGTGCTGCCGGCCAGTTCGTTTCCATTTGTTCTGCCGCTACACGGCAGGGCCTGCTGCTCAGCCTCATCAATGCCTCACAACAAAGGCTTCTCCTTTAACAATTCAAGTAGGACTGAGGGGATTTTCAGTACTTCTACTGAGAACTTTTAACAGGCCAGAGCTAACTGAGTACCAGCTCATCCATAGCATTTAAGAAATGCTTTTTGCCCCAGGGCTACACGCTTCCACTGTCATCATTACTATTGAGTGCTCGCTCTTCTGGTCAGTGACCCCCCCCCCCCCACTGCACCATCACCCCCACGCCCTCTCCCAGTCAGGACCCCATAACTCCCTCCCACTCCCCCCTGTCCCCAGCCTCCCCCTTTTTTCTTCCCTCTGCCATTTTCCCGCCCTGCAAAGCAGCAGGCTGAAGAAAGAAAAACAGCCATTCACAGCCCCTCCACCATCCCCACTGCTGAGGCCCAGACCGTTTGATACACACCTACAGTTTTAGGGAAGGCAGGTGTCGTAAAAAAAATTATTATTATCTGAAGACAAGTCCATCAAGCTAATCTATCATCATGTCTAAATGTGATGAATTGTGCTTCCCAGAAGGAGACACCCACAGTTATAAATATATGACGTTAAATAACAACCAGTGTCAATAACAGCACTGAGGACACACAGCTGCGACATACAGTAACAATGGCCCACAATACTCTTTCACGCCCTCGCCACACAAGTGTGAAGGAAACTTGGAAAACTGTGCACAGCAACAGCATCACAAAACTAATCTGTCTCAAAAAAAAAAAAATCTTTGATGGCAGACTTTGAGTGATGACAAGGTGATCCAACTTAACGTTCAAATGGCTGGTTCGAGTCCACCCCGGTGTCCACGGAGGGCCGGATGGAAACCATGTTTCTATCATTCTGAGAAGCGTTACATTGTATCAAGCATTAACATGTAGCCGCAGCAAGCGCGCACACGTTACAGTGGCGATTCTGCTCGTATGGTCCACTACTGCTCGGCTTTTGTTAACGAATTAGCGGCGAGTGTTCAGCGTGGCAGGCGCCTCTCTCCACTCGATGGGAAGCTGCATCCGCCCTGCGCGTGACGCTGCAGGCTCCACATGGCCACAGTGGAAAAATAGATTTATGATTCTAAAACTTAAAACAATAATAACTTACAGCGTCATAAAATCTTCTTGTAGCGTTTCCATCAAGTGTACAGCAAACCCCGTGAGTGAAACACCAACGTATAGCTAGCTAAAATGGTTTTAGCTCAACAAAAACCTAGTTTGTAAAGAATAGCGAATGGAAGGAATAAAGCATTCATCACCACAACACACTGAAGCTACTCAAAATTAAATTTAAAAAAACTTCTCCCGTGCGACTTGTGCCGCGGTCTTACCTTCACGAACAGCTCGATAACGGGCTCGTTATCCGCCTTTACTCCGTTCTGCGGTACCGACAGCGACATTGCGGCTGCTACTTTTTGAAGTTTTGCTAACAAAGATGAGTTTTTTTCTTCTTGCTACCACGCCCGACTTAGCTCGGTCCTCTTCTCCCCGCACTGAAGCCTAGTCTGCGCTTTTTCTTTCTCCCCAAAGGAGGAACCCGGTGCTGGAAGCACAACGGACTAATTAATGAAAGCGGACAAGGAGGCAGCGGTGTCTGCCAGAGGAGATTTGTTTCAACGTTGCTGTGTAACTTCAACCAAAGCTCAGCTACAAACACATCGTGTTGAACCGCGACGCGGTGTACGTTGGGTGAGTAGTGATGATAAGGACGGCCGGGAAGAAGCAACGGGATTATTTAAAGCAGTGATGTCATCCGAGGCGCGCACACACACACACACAAAAATGTGGGAGGGTCTGAGGAGAGGAGTCTCCTTGCTGGGAGGAAGGAGGACGTGAGGACGCATCAGAGCCACACAGCGCTCCTGCGCACCGTTATATTCTGCTTTTTGTCATGAAATAAAAACAGGTTTTTCATTTTAATTATTTCATTATTTATCAGTCTCAAAACCAGACTTGTTTCGTTATTCTCCTTAATTATTTTTTTGCGCTTCCATTTACTGTTTTTGCAAATAAATTCGTGCAGCTCTCTCTCACTTAATTTGCATGCATTTCCCCAAAATATTCCATAGCTATTAATATACAATACATTGTGTTTCGTCCTGTTTTGCCACAATGTTATTTGCCATTTATCATTACAAACTTTCATTGAAGTGAAAGAATACATACATTTAGGTTGGCAACTGATATGTTCAATAATTGGCCATTGTGACAAAGGAAAAGTTTGATTTAGGTGCAATGACCACATTGCAGATCCACTTTTAAATATGCTGCAAGTGTAGCGGTAGGTTTTGAATTTGCAGGTCCGGTGGGTTGTTCATGTCTCATTAGCCAACATCCCCACCCAATAACTGTTTTTCTTCTTAATCTATTTTTCTTCATTTACCCACATTCTGTGTACATTTTTTACAGATCCCATCCCAAAGAGAAATGACAACATCTTAACATTGAGGAAAGCACACGTCCTATAAAAAGGTTTTAATTCTGAAAGGATGACAAGATGACAAGAGCCAGGGGTACTAAATACAAATCATAGAGCAGTCCCACGGAGATTAGCTTGGTGTAAGGGTGTCAACATAAAATTGCATATCAATCCATCTGGAAAATTAAAGCATTCTCTGTCTCACAGATTGTTTTAGTCTTAAAACAAGACAATTTCAAAGTCAGGAAAAACAGCAGGTTAAACGATGCTAAACACCTCTTTTAAGTTACAATATGGGACAACACATTCTGTTACGGCCTCTAACAATGCACACTGCTGTGCAACTGTTTCCACTAATAAAAGGCAATAGTAACAGTATGTTACTGTATGTTGGTTGTTCTCTACACTCCATAAGGTCTGTGGTTCATGCACATCAGAGACAATCACTGCACATGCAATCATTTCTGAATGGAATCTATTGTAGGCTGTGGAAAATATCTGAAACCTGCACAAATCAAACCTCTAAGCTTAAACCGTTTCCCTGCTCACAATTAAAAATGATGGACAACACAAGCTTCTTTACAGTTCAGATAATACACTAACCGATAAATCAAGCTCTTAATGAAACACTCTTCAGAATGTACCAAACCAGTAAAAAGAAATAAACAAAAACAAAAAAAAAGACTCAAGATTTAACAATTTGTACATTCTAAAGCTGAACCAGGTTGATGACAAACATCAAGAGTGAGTGGAAAATTGAGAAAGCCCCTTGTTTTCAGGACATCTGTGACGGAGATAACTGGGCCTTCCTCATGGAGCGCAGGGCCTTTTCTCTTAGGTGTTTCTCCAGATCATCCAAGCTGTCATCTACTTCACTGTCTGATTCCTAAATGAAAAACAGCATGAAATACACGCCTATCAACTGGCCAATGCATGGCGATCAACAAAATAACATCCGCTACTTATCCCTGTTGAGCACAGAGCACAAAGGCCTTGGTAGCTAAAAAACGCAGAAACTAGACATCACCTTTCTTGACTCTCCATCCTCCTCCCCCCCGTGGTTTTCATGCCCATCTCCAGTCACAGGGCCGCCACTCTTCTCTTTCTTGTGCTTCTTGTGCTTCTTGTGTTTCTTCTCCTTCTTATGCTTCTTTTCCTTCTTCTTCTTCTTTTTCTTTCCACTGCCGTCAACATCTGAATTCTGCAATGAAACAAAGAAAAAGAGTTGTTTTTATGGGGACAACATTAAAAATGCCACTGAATAACTCCACAAACGTCAAAGGAATAAAGTTTCAAGTATTATTGACTAACTACCAACTTCCAAGACTTATTTCTAAGTAAAGTAAGTAGAGATTCTCTTATTGTGGTTCAGAATACATTCAAGGACTCAGTATTCAAGGTCCTTAAAAGTGTTTAAGAGATGGGATGATGTTGCATATTTAATCTCCAGAGAAAAGTTTACAATGCTTTATGTTTTACAATTCTTGAGGTTATGTTTGATGGAGAATGATGGCTAATGTAATCAGACGAAGACAAGTCTGGCTTGCTGCATGCCTAGCTACATAAATGCAAAGTATCTGCATACTTTCCTTTGCAACTTCATTTAACAAAGCCAGAATTGAAACTAAGCTAAAGTATCAAACCTTGTTTGGGGATTGACTGCCGGAACCACTGCTGGCTTTTTTGGCTGGTGGTGGAGACCCGCTGGCTGAGCGAGATGGAGAGGGGGAGGCAGATGCGGGGGCTGGACGTTTCAGAGCTGCTGGCTGGGGGGAAACGGATCTGGAGGACGCTCTCCTCAAAGGCTGGGGACTTGGAGATGGTCTGCGGAGAGGACAAAAGGGACATTCAAAAGAGCGATGGCACATGTACAAAACAGGTTACACAACTCAAAGATAAAAGGTGCATTATCCTGACATAATCACTATGGAGATGAATGCCATCTGCCTCGCCTACCTCTGGTTGTTGCGTGGCTCCGGGGTGCGGGACACCCTGCGGATGGGTTTGCCACTGTGTGGAGGGGACTGCTGTCTCCGCTGGTTCGATGGAGAGGAAGTAGAGGTTTCAAAACGCCTCGGAGGACTGGTGGAACCCCTAACGGCGCGACCGCGGTTCGCAGGGGATGGGGAGAGGCGGCTGGCAACAGGGGATCGCGTCTCCCTGCTTGGCCTGACAGAAGACAACATGGGGCTCCTCCTGTGTCTGGATGGAGACGAGGAAGGAGGCGTGCGTCTCCTTTGAGCAGGAGGACTTCTGCGCTTGGGCGACCTGGAGGCGCGTCGCTTGGCCCCTGGAGAAGAGCGTTTTGGGGGAGAGCTAGACAGCTTCCTCTTCTGTAGAGGCAAGGGTGAGGGGCTGTAGCGCCGCTGGATAGGGGGAGAGTATCGTCTGGGGGATGGAGAGCGACGACGGGGAGGTGGGGAAGGAGACCTGGGAAACACCAAATTTAATTGTCAAAAATCCTTTTTCGAATTTTCAGATGATATTGATATTAGAAAAGATAGCTGAAGAGATCAAATAAACACGCCTATACCTTCTTCTAGGAGGAGAGGGAGATCTGCGACGTCGTGGGGGAGACGGTGTGCGACGTCTGCGTCCAGGAGATGGAGAACGTCTTTTCCTGAAGTGGGAGAAAAAGAAAACATGAGTACAGTACATGATCAACATTTGATTTCACATACAATCCAATTTTTTCAGACACAAAAGTACTGACCTCGGAGAGTCATCTCTGTGTCGCCTCCGTGGGGAGGGTGTGCGGCTGCGTCTCCTCCTGACTTCCCCATTTCTGGCCCCTGGCCCCGCTGTTAGCCTCTTGGGTCCCTCGTCTTCGGATGAGGAGGACCCTGTATCTGACACAAAACAGAAAGAGGACATTAGCGACCGTTTCGTTATAGCCTCAACTGTCTGCTGTGTTGGGGTGGTTGTGTATGGGGAGGACAGAACGGGGATAAAAACATTTATAACCTGAAGAAGTCTGTCGATTCTGCCTGCGATACTGACGCCGCTGCTGCACCGAATCTGCGGTTGCCCCTTTGTCATTTTTATCCTCCTCTGAAATGTAAAGCATCGAGTGTCTCATCAGTGAAACAGACTGCCATGGAAAAGTCAGATAATATCGAAAAAAAGGATTAATATCCCTGTGGTTTGAGTTTTCATTAGCTTTCTACGTGGCAATTTGACCATAGCTTTCTACTTGTCCCCGAGTATTACGTGTCTAATCATGTTCACTCTGTTTGTACTGATAATCTAAGGGAGATCAAAACACATTAACAAATCACTAATAAGATACTTGGGCAAAGATTTAACATTCTACAGCGCAAAAAATATATTTGCTAGAAAAAAAAAAAAAAAAAAAAAAAACTGGTAACAAATTTAAGGTAAATACTCATTTGGGCATGAGGTTGAAATAGGATTATCACACAAGCCCCTGGAAATGTTTTTATTCTGCACAGGTAAAGCAAGCTTCTCCCATGAGCTTAGCAACATTACCTCGTAAGACATTTTCACAATCATTAAAATTGCGTATGTAATGGGCCATGCTATAAACTCTTGAGTATGGTAAAGTAACATCCGTCATTGTGTCCCCTCAAGCTGAAAACCAGAGCCAACAGTCTGGGCAAGGGTCCGTTTTTGACGGTTATCACAACTTGTGAGCCGTAAGGTCACAGGCCTCTGTGGTTCTTAACAGCGGTACTTTAGCGCTTACCTGACTCGGACCCTTCAGACGGTCTGGGCTTGGCATTATCAGACGGAGAATCACCCCTTCCTCCTGGTTTTCGCTTTAAACCTGAAAAACAAGACACCAAGAATTATAAATGCACTTATGATAATCATCCTCTTCACAAGATTTTGAATAGTTAAATCTAATTTCTAAAAGACGGAGGGAGCCGACGCTGTCAGTAAGAGACAAAGACGTCATTATTATATAAGGATCGTACCAGATGGTCTGGCTGGTGATGCAGAGCCTCTGCCCCTCCTGGCCCGTGGAGATGGGGACCGCCTGTCTTTCCCTGCAGGGCTAATGGGGTTGTCGGGATGATGGACCGGTTTTCGGGGTGGTGTGTTAGATATTCTTTTCATTGCTTTTTTAGGCGAGCGAGAGTTGGAAGAGCTGCTGCCAGAGGATGAAGCAGAGCGAGAGCGCCTCCTGTAGGACACAAACACATGAACAATACAAGATTATTTTTAAAGGGAGAAGCTGTATGGCCCAGATCTACTGTACACAATGTCAGTGGCCAGTAGAATAATATAAATAGGAAGATGTTACAGAGGAACTTAATGATTGTTCTTTTAACCACTAGGCTGCAGCTACTGACCTGCGGACAGGAGAGCGTCTGTGCCTGTGTCTGGAGTTGGGGGGGCCACGTCTGGGGGGGCTCCTTCGACGAGGAGACATCCTCCTCCTGGGACTCTGTCTTCTACGAGGGGAGTAAGATCTGAAATGTGGTACAGAACGAGAGACGCTTTGAATTTCTTTTCAATGTTTAGGAACTTGGAAGTCCTTGATTTTACCCAGAATTTAAAAACATTAAATCTTTGAAGAACCAGAGGACACCAAAATAACTTGATACGTCAAAAATTACCTAGAACGGGAGCGTCGCCTGCGAGTGCGGGAATGAGAACGAGAGCGGTGGTGAGGTCTGTCCCTCCTGCCGTCCTTCTCCCGTTCCCGGGACCTGGGCCGTTCCTCTTTCTTCTGTGTCTTCTCTGGTGAAGCTTCTTTGACTTCAGTCACTGGGTCTGGATTCACCACCTCCACAACTGCGTCACTGCAGGCCAGAGGAACAAGTTCAAATTCAATTCTAGATGTCACTGTCAAGGTTTTTTTTTTTTTTTTTAATCTAAAAGAAAACTACTGTACTATATTACCAGTTTCCATGATAAACTAAAAACAATTATAGATGAAAATTGCTTTTGTGTTTCATCCAGTGCATTAC